CTGGTGAACGTGTGCGAAAAAGGGGGGGGTATTGTTAATCTGTCTCGGTGTAAATCTCCCGACTCCCTTTTGAATTGCGAAGAAGCAGAACAAACGACGACTTTAAATTAAAAGTCTTTCTGGTCTATTAAGCGTTCTCTAAGTAACGGCGCAATTCCATTAACTTCCCATTCCTGGGCTGAATAGGGAGGCGGGAGAGAGCGGGGGATGGGCGGGATAAAAAAATATCGCACTCTGTACATACAGCGCCCGCCATGCGAATGTGTAAGGTGCGCACGCTGGATGCCATTTATTTATATGGCGCATTCGTCTCCCGTGGCGATGTACAAAGTCGCGGGGGGAGCGCAGCGCGGGCGATACAATACGGGAGATATTCCGAAGCTCAGAACACAATTATGTAGCAAAATGTATCAAAAACAAGATCCAATGTGTGGGGGTCCCTGATGTATGAGGGGGGGAGGGGAGGTGGAGGGGAGGGGGAGGCCATTGTGGTTGTTTTAGAGAATCAATAAACCGAAGAAGAGAAATGTAACGCACACATGAGCAGGTCCCCCGTCCTCGGAGGCGGCCGCGGCATTCGTTTTATTCTGTACTGATGATCCTGCCTGGAACACACTTCCTGTCCGAGGGTGACAACTAGGGATGCAATGATATTGATATCGGAGCCGACACTCAGCATTTGTATTCGTGAAAATGTCCCGATACTGAGCGCCGATACCGGTGATTTACGGCTGCCGTAAGGTCCTGTGCTTGCTGGGGACCTCGCGGCGCTGTTTAGAGAGCCGGCCGCACATCTACTCCTCCTTCCTGTGGATCCCTGCGGCCCGCTTCCGGACCCCTGCTGAGAGGCTACACAGCCATTCCTAACACCCCGCACAGCCAACCAGAGACCCCGCACAGACCACCTAATACCCCGCACAGCCCACCTGACACCCCACACAGCCCACCTGACACCCCACACAGCCCACCTAACACCCCGCACAGCCCACCTGACACCCCGCACAGCCCACCTGACACCACGCACAGCCCACCTGAGACCCCGCACAGACCACCATATACCCCGCACAGCCCATCATAGACCCCGCACAGCCCAGCACAGACCCCGCACAGCCGCCTGAGAGTCCACACAGTCCACCATAGAACCTGCACAGCCACCTACCCCACACAGCCCACGTGAGACCCCGGAGACATCCAGCCTCCACCCCGGAGCAATACAGAGTATGAAGCTTTTGCCCACGGCAACCAATCAGCTTCTCTCTTCAGTTTGCTCAGGTAAAATGTAAAAATGAGAGAGAGAGAAGCTGATTGGTTGCCGTGGACAACTGCTACAGATTTGAAACACCGCCCTCTGTGTATGTTTTCATGTCATGTACCTACATTCCCAGATGGACCCGAGGAGTCTTTATTCATCACTCACCTGCCATGTTATTATATATTTTTAGTCTATTAACATTTTGCACCTGTTTCTGTGTCTCTGCGCGTCTCTGGAGGGACTCTGCGCGTCTCTGGAGGGACTCTGCGCATCTCTGGAGGGGCTCTGCGCGTCCCTGGAGGGGCTCTGCGCGGAGTGTCTCTGCGCGTGTCTCTGAGGGTTCTGTGTGTCTCTGAGGGCTCTGTGTGTCTCTGAGGGCTCTGTGTGTGTCTCTGAGGGCTCTGTGTGTGTCTCTGAGGGCTCTGTGTGTGTCTCTGAGGGCTCTGTGTGTCTGAGGGCTCTGTGTGTCTCAATCTCTTTTTCTATTTTAAAAAGGGAAATACCAGGGATCTGTTTAGACCCCCAATATTTCCCCGAAGCCCCTAAAAGTAAAAAAAAAAAAATATTGAATAAAAAAATGAATAAAAAAAAAAGAAGAAAAATATAAAAAAAATTACAAAGTTTAAAAAAACAACAACAACGAATAAAAGGAATGCGCAGACACAGAATAAAGTTTTAAAACATTTATTTCAGGTTAAAAATTAAAAACAAAATCGCTATAAAAAAAGACTAACCGACACTTCACCAGCAGTGAGCGAGTTAATAGAAAAACAGAAATTCAAAACTTTATTCGTAAATCACCAACAAACAGCGACACGGAGATTAGAAAACATCATCCACCTATAATCAGAGAGGACAGAGCTCCCCACTACCCCGGGGAGGGGGAAATAGCAGCATGGAGGTGGGAGGAGACACCGCATATCATAGCCAATCAGAATCAGGGACACAAAGAACTTGGAAGTCGCCAATACGACCAGGAGACAGGTGCTCAGATTCTGATGCCGACCATAGACCATAAGATCGTTCAACACTGGTATGAGGGCTCGTTCACACCAAATCCGGACCAGATCTGCGCGAGTCTCTGCACATGCAGTGCAGTGCGTTTTGCCGCATTTGGTGTGACCAAGCCCCGAAACATTTCACATCTTGCAGAAACAATTGCCCGTTCGCTCTCTGCGGAGAAAGGCAACAAACGAACGTTCTCGATATATTTTTGGCCCAAATGTAATGCAATACCACATGATGGCCACTAGATGGAGCTGAGAAACACAGGGAATGAAAACCATCTCTTTGGCTCCATCTAGTGGCCATCGGGTGGTATTGCATTACATTTGGGCCAAAAATAAAATATACCGAGAACGTTTTGTTTTGTTTTTTGCCTCTATTTGCACAGAATGAACGTTCACTGAGATTCCGGGGCAAACGGCTCTGCAAATTGTGTATAAAATAGACCCCTTAAGTGTATCATCAGCTTTACTGAACGATCTTTATGAGATTCACTGACAATTGTGTATCACAAAAGTCTACCAGACTAGATGCAAACTGTGAAGGAATTAGTGATTTGTGGCTCATTCACACCACATCATCTCCAGACCAGACCAGATTGTTTCCGGGCCCAGGAGAGAGGAGGGGACTCGACAACAAACGTTATCCCGCCCGGTGAATGTCCCCTCCTCTCTCTGCTGGCGTCCATGAGCAAGACGGCCGCCGGCAGGCATCAATTAAATGACCGCGCCTGCACGACGACATCATCGCGCACACACGTGGTGATGTTACGGAGGGGTGTCACCCGGCCTCGGGACGCCCGCCCTGCCATGAGGCATTGCAAGACTGACAGCCACAGGCATGACTCCCAGAGGTATGGTGAGATTTGTATTTTCACCACAGCTGGGAGTTTGCACGCCCCTGCTCTACGACGACAGAGTGCCTTCCATGTGACCATTCGGTGACATCATCAATGTGCGCACCCCACACCCAGAGATTCGGATGAAGAAACGCTGAAGGAGAGCGTCACCTAAAAGTGGAGTGCTTGGGGAGAACTGATGATAGAACCTGTATAGTTATATTGCCTCGTTGGGTCCTAAGGCCTTCTTCTAGTTTCCATACATGTACCTCTGGTTCCCTCCCATACGCTGCACTGACGATGGCCAAGGTGCCTGAAAACCCCTGTATGCAATACCTCTGTAACAGGGGTAGGCTACCCTGGCACCCCAACTGTGCTGACGCTATACATCCCATCATGCCTCTGCTTCTGGGAGACCTGCAATGCATCATGGGACTTATAGTTCCATAGCAGCTGGAGGGCCCAGGCCCCTATAATATTAGGCCATATTTGCACTATACCTCTGCGGTTCTGGATGAGCATCTGACTGTTGAGGTGTAAAGGAATGATTTGCATAGCCCCGCCCACTGTCCTGTAATGAGGAATATTGGGGTGTTCTCAGCACATGCACAGAAGTGAGGGACCGGCCAGGGAGTTTACCACCACAGAGGGGTTCACAGGGGCAAGAACAGGTACCTAAAAACATTGGGGGGGGTTTGTGTAAACTAAAGCAGCATCTTTGCCTCACACGTAGTTCATTCTTCCCTTTAGGTCCCTCAATGGAGGCTGTGCGGCTCCCCACGGATCAGGAAGGAGACTGGACAGGGGGAGGGGGTATAAACTCTGAAGGGGTTGGGGTAACTATATAAAAGTGTCCTTTAAAGGAGGGTACAATTGTTGATTTGGATGAGTTTGACATAAAACAGACTTTGTGAAAGCTGACCGATCAATTCGAGGTCATAAAGACGCCTGCGGTGAGGTTAGTGGATAGGTGTACAGTGCTACACATCGATAGTAGAGCAAACTGGTAGAAATATCTGTAACATAAATCAAGGCAACAGGACTCTCTGCATTTTGCTTGAGGACGTTTTGCTGGTCATCCGACCAGCTTTCTCAATTCAGAAAGACTTAATAGCACCTGCTAGCTCCAATCATGCCACTGCAATCAGCTCCTTACCTCCCTGGAGGTCTCTGAGCCCATGCTGGGTACGATAAACCGATCATGTGGATTGGAGCAACATTGACCATCTTCATTCCCAGAGAAGTCATTCTGAATAGAGAAAGCTAGTCAGATGAGCAGCAAAACATCGATTAAATTTTTTTTATCCAAGCAGCTGGACCTGGCTGTGTCTTTCCTGAAGATACACAATGACCAGGATGACTGAGAACTTTCAGAGACAAAGTCCCGATTACTGTCCTAACAATTTTAGTCCCTTTATCACACAGTATGAAGGAAGATCAGGGCCGCCAATAGGGGGGTACAGGCAGAACTCACATACAGGGCCCAATGGGATCAGTAGAAGGGGGCCCGTGACCGGCAGAATGTGATAGACTAGTGCAGTGGTGGCGAACCTTGGCACCCCAGTTGTTTTGGAACTACAACTCCCATGAGGCATTGCTAGGCTCTGACAGCCACAGACATAACTCCCAGAGGCAGATGCATGTTGGGATTTGTAGTTTTGGCACAGCTGGAGTGCCAAGGTTCGCCACCACTGGACTAGTGCAACATCTGTCTAAATCTCTCCTATCCCCTCCCCCGCCACCCAACCAAGAGTACCCGTCATCAATAAACAGCATTGTATGGACTGACACAACATCTAGCCAGTGACCTCCACACCTCGAGCCATAGAGACGTCACACTTACCCAGTGCACCTTTTTTTTAAAGTCTGCTTTACACGATGGCCGCCCTCAGTACGGATGACAGGGGCTCTTTAAATCCGGTTTCCTCCACCAGTATGGGAGCGGGCAAGGACACGGAGCAGACAGCAAGATAAAGTGCCAGCGAACCAATAAAACGCTCCCAACGCTGAATATAAAAATCGTAGTGAACGCGTCGTCCTCCATTCTTCATTAAAAGATAAAAAGGTTCATTTTTATTAACGTATCCGGAGAAGGACGACAATTAAAAAGACTTCCTCGAGGAAAGGAGAGTCCCGGGTTCTCCGGTGCGGGGAGTGAAACGACGAGACAGTCCGTTAGTAGTGCAGCTTCGGCAGTCCACGGCTACAGTCCATTATGTGCAAAACCTAATCCGACAGTTCAGTCCCGTCCGGGGGCCATCAGACGGAAATAAAGACGTCCAGATAGAGTCTGTCGTAGGACTCCCTGAAGCACACAATAAAAAGCAAGCTGAGCAAGGAAGATCCCGTCAGGCACCAGTTCAGCCACGACAACTCTGGAAATGAAAAGACAACATTGAATCACGGGGAGGACATTCAGATGGTGTACTTTGGGTGAGCGTGTTTGGCGGCGGCGTCCCTCAGGCAGATAATGAGCACCAGGCCGAGGATACAGGAGCCTGTGAGGCACCAATTCGTCCAGGATAGAGCTGTGTAAATACAAGAAACAGAGAAGCATCACCCCGGTCTGCTCCCACACAGGAGAAACGCAGGCGCGGCTTTTATTTACACAGCGTGACGTTATTCTACCAACATTTCTATTTGTTTTACACCAGTAACGTTATAAAATGCTTTGTAAGTATTGAAGGGACACTGCTGCCAAAAACCGCTTCACTCCCCTTCCATCACTGACGTATTCTGGCAACACAAGAGCAGTGTGTACAGCAAGCGTCAGCTCCAGATTGAGGATGGTACCAAGTACCGAGAGAGAGAGAGAGATACAAAGTAACATTGTTTATAGACATTGATCAGAGGGAGATAGAGCGATACAAAGTAACATTGTTTATAGACATTGATCAGAGGGAGATAGAGCGATACAAAGTAACATTGTTTATAGACATTGATCAGAGGGAGATAGAGCGATACAAAGTAACATTGTTTATAGACATTGATCAGAGGGAGATAGAGCGATACAAAGTAACATTGTTTATAGACATTGATCAGAGGGAGATAGAGCGATACAAAGTAACATTGTTTATAGACATTGATCAGAGGGAGATAGAGCGATACAAAGTAACATTGTTTATAGACATTGATCAGAGGGAGATAGAGCGATACAAAGTAACATTGTTTATAGACATTGATCAGAGGGAGATAGAGCGATACAAAGTAACATTGTTTATAGACATTGATCAGAGGGAGATAGAGCGATACAAAGTAACATTGTTTATAGACATTGATCAGAGGGAGATAGAGCGATACAAAGTAACATTGTTTATAGACATTGATCAGAGGGAGATAGAGCGATACAAAGTAACATTGTTTATAGACATTGATCAGAGGGAGATAGAGCGATACAAAGTAACATTGTTTATAGACATTGATCAGAGGGAGATAGAGCGATACAAAGTAACATTGTTTATAGACATTGATCAGAGGGAGATAGAGCGATACAAAGTAACATTGTTTATAGACATTGATCAGAGGGAGATAGAGCGATACAAAGTAACATTGTTTATAGACATTGATCAGAGGGAGATAGAGAGATATAAAGTAACATTGTTTATAAACATTGTTCCCCTCTCTTCCTCTGATCAATGTTTATAAACAATGTTACTTTGTATCTCTCTCCCTCTGATCAATGTTTATAAACAATGTTACTTTGTATCTCTCTCCCGCTGATCAATGTTTATAAACAATGTTACTTTGTATCTCTCTATCTCCCTCTGATCAATGTTTATAAACAATGTTACTTTGTATCTCTCTATCTCCCTCTGATCAATGTTTATAGAGAGATACAAAGTAACATTGTTTATTGTTCAGACATGAGAGACAAAACATTATTACTATTTTATTTACTTTGTTTTATGTATCTACAGATCAGAAGAGACGAGCTGCAATCCAATTCAAAGCAAATTTAGTTTACTCCAATTAGCCCATAATGTGCCTTACTTTTATATTGCATTGTTTACAGCACGTGCATGTGTAGGTGTGTGTATATTATATATAGACATATACACACCCACACAACCTTGTTATGATGAAAATGTTTTTCTGAATAAACTATCCCCAGAGAAGAAATGTAACAATTGCTCAGCAGTCCACATGCGGTGTACCAGTGTGAGAGCTGAACTGGTTAACACACAGATCTTAATGAGAATCAATCCTGTCACTCTAAGCAAGCTCCGAGCAGGCTTCAGGACGATGCGAACATTGATTTCGGTCTGCCAGCAGCTTGTTTAAAGTTACATTTTCACTCCAATTTAGATCTGTTATTTCACAGCCACAAACTGGAGCTGAAGGTGCTTTAAAAGCTTCCACAAAGCTTGCTCTGTAAAAGCTTTCTGTACATTCTGCTCTTATACAAGCTGAAGCCTGTGTGCACAACGCCTTCAGAACCTCGCTGCCCAATGGCTGGTCCCAAGATAGCCCCTCCTGCTCCCAGGTCACCTGATCAGGGCTGACGAATGTGGACACGTTCCAGCTTTGACACAATATGGTTGACTTGTGGCACACCGCAATGCACCTTGGCACTGGTGTGGCCATTTTGTTGGTGGGTAACCAGCTAAGTGGCAGGTAGACTCACAGGCGGGTTAACCAGACCCTCATTCAGTCCTTCTAGGCCTCTACAATATTTATAACACACATCAGATTTGATAATGTCTTTAGAACAACAGGCATCGCACAGGAACAAATATTGGCACATGTTGTGTATTACCATCTGATTACAATATGTTTAAGTTGGCAAAGCCCACTAACAACCAATCATATGGCCATAGTGGTTTTCCTAATTACCTACCACACTGTCTGTTTAAATGCCTTTTTTCACGTATCCCTTGGTATAAATATATATATTAAAGTCTGACGTAACCCACAAAACTCTTACATTTTGGCAAAACTGAATATCAAGTTAAAAGGAGAACTATGAGGTGGGTGCTTTTCACTCACCTCATAGTTGTAGCCGACCTGTGACAATGAGACTGTCACAGGTCGGCTCAGTAGATCGGGAGGTGAGTGAACACATACCGGCGTTCGCTCACCTCTCGATCCTGTCACGGCTCTCTGCCGTGACAGGGGGAGGGGCTGGATTCCCCCCTCCCCGCTCCGATCTGTCAGCGCTGACTGGCAGAAAGGACGGGGGAGGGGGCGGGTAGACCTCTAGATAGGCAGAGCCAGCTGTCAGTCACGCAGCTGGGTGGATCCCGGCACAATTGTCGGGATCCGCTTCAGCTGAGGCGTCTCAGTATACCGCAAGCAGCAGAGTTAAGGCTTTTCCCCATAGTTCTCCTTAGGGTAACGGGAGGACACAAACTAGCATCCTCCCGTCACCCTAGGCTCAGTATACTGCGATCTGTAGCCCTCTATATACTGAGCCTAGGGTGACGGGAGGACGCTAGTTTGTGTCCTCCCATTAGCCGGAGAACTATGGGGAAAAGCCTTAACCCCATAGTTCTCCTTTAAAGAAAAGGTTAATAATAATGACAGAACACTGAAATGGCACATCTGTAAAAAAATAAGTCAAGGCAACTGGACTTGCTCTATCGTTTTTGAAGACGTTTCACTGGACATCTGACCAGCTTTCTCAATTCAGAAAGCTGATCGGATGTCCAGTGAAACGTCTTCAAGAAAGATACAGCAAGTCCAGTTGCCTTGACTTATTTTTTTACAGATATACCCATGACTTGGATAAAGGAGAACCTTCACAGACACTGAAATGGCACCTTCTGGATTTCGCACCCAGACCCACCTTTATCCCAGGAAGGATTGGCCAGGTCAGACCTGGAGAAATACCACTATGGTACCCATCTGGTGAGACTTGGATTGGTACTGGCATGCCCAATCCAAGTTATGGGGGCATATGGAGCATTACCACTCCGTTACACCTCTGTGGTGCCCTCAAATCGATCCCTTCATCTGAAATCTCCACTCATTGGCCCCCACCTTGGTTTTTTTTTTATCGCAGGGCTTTCTAGAAGTTTAAGCTCTTGTTCTACACTTCTCAGTTATTTCCGATTCTGGGAAATCCCAACTTTATTCCCAGCTACTCTGCCCCCTCCCTTCTAAAACTCTGCACCGAGGGCTCTTTAAGGGCATCACACTTTCTTAAGCATTCTTCATGGCCAACTATAGCACACCCAATGCCCCCTGGTGGACCCTTTTGCCTACCATTTTGGAAGGTTCTACAGCTGCATCATAACTTCTCAAACTTGCTCCAAGCCTCAAAATTTTATAGATTGTTGACGGAACTGGAAGCCCCATGTTCAAAAGAAGGCCCTCTAAGACTCTCACGGATCTACTTTTTATTGTCCTCCCCTGGCCCGGACATTCTCCCTTCCTTCTTGCCAAAATGGGAAAGGGATCTTGGTAAATGTTTTACGGCCCACAGACATAGAATTCTCATCTCGGTGAAGTCCTCTATTTGTACAAGGACTCGGGAATCCAAATTACAAAGCAATATTGTTTTGGTATAGACCAGGGGTAGGCAACCTTGGCTCTCCAGCTGTGCTGAAACTACAAATCCCATAAGGCATTGCAAGCCACAGGCATGACTCTCAGAGGCATTAGCATGATGGGAATAGTATTTGCAGCACTGCTGTAGAGCCAAGGTTGCCTACCCCTGGTATAGACTATAGACCCCATCTAGACTACACAAGTTCTCGCCAAAGGTTACAAATAGATGTTGGAGATGTGAGACGGGAAAAGTGACTTTGTTACACATCTCTCTGTCTTGCCCCAAAATGTCCAATTGCCCACAAACTCAGCGACTACCCAATACTCTTGGATCCTTCCTTTTTCTTTCACATGAGAGCACATTACACATGAAGGTGCACAGGAAATCGGTCATTAGAAATCTGTCAGCTAAGGGATGTATTTCAGCGTTCTGGAAGGATCACTTATGAGGCGGATCAGCAGGATAGCAGAAATGAGGCTTCTAGAATATCTGATTCTCACACATGAGCGCAATGTCGATGGCCATTTCCAGACATGGATTTGCTGGAACCAATGAGGGTAAAAGCCTTATGATTGGACCAGCCTGACTGCCGCCCATCCCATTTTTTTCTCCTCTTCCTTTTTCGTTTCTTCTCTCGCTTCCTAGACTTGGCCCCGACGTCTCTCGGTGGCTCATCTATTCCCACCATCTCTTTCCTCAAGCACCACTCCCACCCTCTGGGACAAGCATCTTGGGTCCCGATTCCCCAGGTGGGGGTCCCTTAACCCCATGTTCCATGGTCTTAGCCCCCCATCATCATCTACCTGCACCCTGTGGCGGCAGACAAACCGTGCACCACACTGCTTTGCAATCCTCAATCCAACTGAAAACAACCTCAGGAGTTAA